TATTCGATTATTCGAATATCCGAAACCTTCATTTTTTGAATTACTCGAATATTCGACGGATCACACTCGAGTATGAACAAACCTGATATCAACGTAATATTCGATGTGTGAAGTGCGAAATTGCTAGTCTTGTTAGAAGCATCATTAAAGATGTGAGGCTCCGACTCATACACCATGGTGCCGAATTCACATCACCTGCTATCGTCTATGTAGCAAGGTTCTGATGAGCAACACATTTTAGATGGTCTTCGATCTAAATTAGAAGATAGAGTTGTCGTGAAAGAACTTCGGCCTAAATATTGGCTCCCCCCTTCCCCTCCCCTCCTCTCTCCTCCCCTCATTCCTTTCAAACACCTCTGGAAGCCCTTGTCACGTTTCAGATATCAAAGACTACGAAAACAATAGGTTTAGGGTGGCGCTGGATGCCATGATCACACATGGAAGTGGAAGTTTGTAGTGGAACAAAACTTTAACGTGGAATTTAACCGGAGAAATCCTGTATCCAATAGCTCATGCGTTGATCTCTCTGAGACCACTTTTCCAGAGAATTCACGCTGCATGCTAAGAATAAAGTGAGCAGAGAAAAATAGTGAACTACAGTAGTTGTAAAACGTGATCCCAATATAGGTCGATTCTTTTTTCCCCTGACCTATGGCTTGTTACTTACACAAACAGGTGAATGGCGGCACAAATTTTATATGAAAAATAACTTTTGTATCATAAGTATCCGAATGAAATTATTTGACGAAAATTTGGATATTCGAGAATCTTGAACTTCGAATTATTCGAAAATTCGGACATTCGAAAATATTGGCTTTCGAAAACTTGAATGTTTGAAGTTCTCGATCCTCGAACTATTCGAATACTAATATTTGAAATTTTCAAAATGATTTCCAATGTATACTAGTTGAAAAACCTCTCTATTGATTTGTCAGATGGTGAAAACCCAAAATTTTCTATATCGGGATATATTTTCCTCATTTCTGTCTAGATTTTTGTTGTGGTCCTGATTAACTTGGATGTTGCTGTTGCCATGAAAAGAGTGCATTGAGTTGAATTAAATTGTTAGACTTGTAAAGTTGCCATCAATGCAAAAGCTGATATAATACTATAAAGATCAAGAATGACTTGTAGCAAATGACCTCCAGTACGCACTTCCTCTTCCCCTTACTATCCTTGTGATTATCACAAATCTCTTCTTCGTAGGTTGGAAGTTCCTCTAAGGTATCAAGCTTAAAAGGTCTTCCTTTCAATATTACGAATCTGTCAAGACACATTCAAAGAATTCATTTAGAGTTCAATTTCTCATCATGTGAACGAAACCATCACAGACTGTAGCAAATTAGAGCGATCCGTTGAACACCACAAAAGCCCACCGGCGCCTGAACCACCGATCCGCGTTCGACAAATCAACAACGCAAA